ACACAGAATTGTTACTGAGGGACACAGAATTGTTACTCAGGGACAGACACAGAATTGTTACTCAGGGACAGACACAGAATTGTTACTGAGGGACACAGAATTGTTACTGAGGGACACAGAATTGTTACTGAGGGACACAGAATTTTTACTCAGGGACACAGAATTGTTACTCAGGGACAGACACAGAAGTGTTACTCAGGGACACAGAATCGTTTAATTAAAGAGTATGTCAGACAACATGCATAGGAGTGGCAGAGGAGGCAATGTTTTTAGGAGCGAGCAGACGTGGCAGCAGAGGAAGGGGTCGAGGCAGCACTAGTCGCAGCCAGAGGCCAGTGCTCCCGGTGTCATCCAGCGGTCGTGTCTCCACCGACAACCCTGCCGTCATCGATTGGTTGGCTCGGTCGTCTTCCTCTTCCCAGGTCACCTCTGACACCTACAGCCAACGGTCGGTGGGTACGTCAGACACAACCGTTAGTTGGCATGGCCCGGGAGCAAGCCCACTGAAATCACGTGTCCTCGACCTGCCCCTGTCCTTTGGTGTTCCCTCACCAAGCGAAGTATCGTATGCTGTGGGCTCAGCCCCACTGTACAGTGAGGAAGAGCTAACAGAGGGCGGTCAGAACGGGGGGAGACATCCGCCTCTTCAGCAGCCAGGCGAAGAAGTAGTGGCGAGGAGAGTGGCTCGGTAGCCGGTCTAGAGACAGGTCTGTCTCCTGACCCACACGCAGCCGAGGGGGCTAGTAGTGAGGCGGAGACCCTAATTGATGATGATGAGGCTGATCGCACTTGGCAGCCTCGTCGTCATCAGGCTATTGCTTCCGCATCATCAGGAGAAGAGGGTGGCAGCTTGGCAGCGAGCAAAACAGTCGGTGGGTTGCCCAGGAGGCAGCAGGGTCGCAGCAGTGTCAGTGGAGGCAAACGGCCATGGAGTACAGCACCAGCTCCACTGCAGCCTACCACCACGGCCAGTAGTGGTGCCGATGTGCACGGAGGAAGCAGCAGTCAGCCAGTGAGGAGTATCGGGGGCAAAGTTTCCTACTGGGCGGTGTGGCAATTTTTTGTCAAGCCGCCCGAGGAAGTAAACGTAGCCGTATGTCGACTATGTGGCCAGAAAGTCAAGCGTGGCCAGGGGGCCCATGTTGGGACTACAGCATTGCGGCAGCATATGCAGCGTCGCCATTTGGTGGCCTGGGAAAACCGTGATAAAGATACGGCGGTTGTGCCCGCCCCAGCCCCCGCTCCATCACCCGCTCCGTTACTTGCTCCGTCACCCGACGTCAATCGCCCTCTATCAGCCAGTCAAGGCTCCAACACCTCTGCTGAGGGGAGTTGTCGCTCGTTGGCATCTTCCGCTCGTTCTGATGCTCCTTCTCCTGCTACTCCTCTTCACGGATTCCGTCAGCAGTCTTTCTTGGAATCCGTTTCCAAGAGACAACAGTTTGCGAGCACGCACCCGACGGTGCAAAAGCTGAACGTCCTCCTGTCCAAGTTGCTGGTGCTGCAGTTTCCAAGTCCCTCCCTTTCCAAGTGGTGGACTCAGCACCTTTCCGAGAAATGATGGCTTGTGCCGCGCCGCGGTGGAGAGTGCCAAGCCGTCATTTCTTCGCCAAAAAGGCAGTGCCAGCCCTGCATTCACATGTAGAAGAGATGGGTGGGCCAGTCTTTGAGCATGTCGGTCTCTGCCAAAGTGCACGGCAGCGCCGACGTATGGAGCTGTAACTACGGTCAGGGACAGTACATGTCATTTACGGCCCACTGGGTGAACGTGGTGCCGTCACAGCCGCACCAGCAACTTGGACAGGTCACGCCACTTTTGCCTCCACGTTTGCACGTCCTTGGTCCGGCAAAGATGTCCGCCTCTACCACCTCTTCTTCCGCCGTGTCCTCAGCCGCCACCCCCGTGCCAAGTCCCATTACCCGACCGGCATATCACATGTGCAGGGCGCAACGGTGTCACGCTGTGCTGCACCTGGTATGCCTTGGCGAACGTAGTCACACAGGGGAGGAACTTCTCAGTGTAATGAACAGAGAAATCGACAGATGGCTGTCTCCGCGCAAACTTAAAATTGGAACCATGTTGACCGACAACGGAAAGAACATGGTGTCTGCTCTGCGTCAAGGAAGGTTGTGCCATGCGCCATGCATGGCTCACGTGTTCAATCTGGTTGTCAAGCGGTTCCTAAAATCCACCATCCCACTGCAAGACATCCTTAAAATGTCACGTAAACTTTGCATGCATTTCAGCCATTCCTACACCGCAAAGCACACCCTCCTTGAGCTGCAGCGGCAGAACGGAATTCCACAGCATCGCCTGATCTGCGACGTTGCAACAAGGTGGAATTCAACCCTACACATGTTAGACCGCCTTTACGAACAGCGAAAGGCCATCACCGATTTCCTGATGTTACAAGCGGATAAAGGTACTCCCCTGTGTAACTTCGATGTCAGCCATTGGCAGCTCATGCGTGACACCTGCCGCTTGCTCAGGCCCTTTGAGGAGGCCACGCTATTCGTGAGTCAGCAGGACTATGGGATGAACGACGTCATTCCTCTGTTGCACGTCCTGGAACAAATGCTGTTAACAATGGCTGGTCAGGGTGCGGTAGACGTGGCGCACAGATCTCAATGCCACATGACCCCTGTGGGGGCAGGACAGGAGAAGAGGAGGAGGTAGAGGAGGACATTTGTGCTCAGGAATTATTGAGTGAAATGGGTGGTTTTTCCACTCAGCGGACAGGAGTGGAGGAGCAGGAGCATCTGGTAGAGGGAGGAGGAGGAGGAGACAGAGGACCCAGACGCACCGTGGCAGTATGCTGTGGAGATGGAGGCAGGGAGTCCCTCGCATTCCTTGGCACAAATGGCCCATAGCATGCTCGGTTGCTTGCGTAGCGACAGCCGAATAATAACCATCAGACAGAGGGATGACTTTTGGCTGTCCACCTTGTTGGACCCTCGCTACCGTTCAAAAATGGTGGCCTTTTTCACACCTGCTGAGAGGGAGGCCAAAATAACGTACTATAAAAACCACCTATGTAGTCAGTTGGTCTCTGCCTTTGTGCGCCAACGTCCATCCTCAGACACTGTGGGCCCTGTGCGCTCGCGTTCCGCTGCCATGGCAGCAGGGGAGGGGTGGGGTGGTAGGAGCAGTGGCAGCTCCACCAGCAGCGGCTGCCTCAGTCTGCAGTCGATGATGAGTAGCTTTCTTTCACCAGCGCAGTGAGGAAACTACTAACCAGCCGCAGAAGCAGCAGCAGCATCAGGTGGACCTGGAGCAGGACCTCAAACAACAGGCTTGGGCCTACTTGGACAGCACCCTGCCAACCGAGGTAGACAATCCCCTTGACTACTGGGCAACGAAACTTGACCTTTGGCCCCAACTAGCTGAATTTGCCCTTGAAAGGCTGTCATGCCCGGCCAGTAGCGTGGCATCGGAGCGCGTGTTTAGTGCGGCAGGAGGTATTGTAACTCCGCGGAGGACACGACTGTCCACCCAAAGTGTGGAGAGACTCACGTTTGTGAAAATGAATCAGGCGTGGATTAGTCTGGATTTCAAACCACCAGTTTCCTGACACAACTGACTAAATCCGCCATGAATCATGCCCCAAACATGTGCCACTTTCAGGTCTCCTCACACTGCTGGTGTGTTCCATTTTTTGTCATAGGGTGCTGGCAGATTACGGGCCTCCCATAGCTGCTGCCAGGCCCCTAATCTGCCATGGGCCCCTATACCGCCTCCTCATGCTGCTGCCAGGTCCACAGTGTCTCATGCCATGTGCCACTTTCAGGTCTCCTCACACTGCTGGTGTGTTCCATTTTTTGTCATAGGGTGCTGGCAGATTACGGGCCTCCTATAGCTGCTGCCAGGCCCCTAATCTGCCATGGGCCCCTATACCGCCTCCTCATGCTGCTGCCAAGTCCAGAGTCTCTCATGGGTCCCTGTACGGCCTCCCATTGCTGCTGTCTCCATCGCCACACTCTGCCATGTGCCACTTTCAGGTCTCCTCACACTGCTGGTGTGTTCCATTTTTTGTCATAGGGTGCTGGCAGATTACGGGCCTCCCATAGCTGCTGCCAGGCCCCTAATCTGCCATGGGCCCCTATACCGCCTCCTCATGCTGCTGCCAAGTCCAGAGTCTCTCATGGGTCCCCCTGTATGGCCTCCCATTGCTGCTGTCTCCATCGCCACACTCTGCCATGTGCCACTTTCAGGTCTCCTCACACTGCTGGTGTGTTCCATTTTTTGTCATAGGGTGCTGGTAGATTACGGGCCTCCCATAGCTGCTGCCAGGCCCCTAATCTGCCATGGGCCCCTGTACCGCCTCCTCATGCTGCTGCCAGGTCCACAGTGTCTCATGCCATGTGCCACTTTCAGGTCTCCTCACACTGCTGGTGTGTTTCCATTTTTTGTCATAGGGTGCTGGCAGATTACGGGCCTCCTATAGCTGCTGCCAGGCTCCTAATCTGCCATGGGCCCCTATACCGCCTCCTCATGCTGCTGCCAGGTCCAGAGTCTCTCATGGGTCCCTGTACGGCCTCCCATTGCTGCTGTCTCCATCGCCACACTCTGCCATGTGCCACTTTCAGGTCTCCTCACACTGCTGGTGGGTTCCATTTTTTGTCATAGGGTGCTGGCAGATTACGGGCCTCCCATTGCTGCTGCCAGGCCCGTAATCTGCCATGGGCCCCCGTACCGACTCCTCATGCTGCTGCCAGGCCCGTAATCTGTCATGGGCCCTTGTTGTCGCTTGTTGGCATATTGCGCTCGTTCAGATGCTCCTTCTCTCCTGCTACTCCTCTTCACGGATTCCGTCAGCAGTCTTTCTTGGAATCCGTTTCCAAGGTGCAGAAGCTGAACGTCCTCCTGTCCAAGTTGCTGCTGCCAGGCTCGTAATCTGTCATGCACCCCTGTACCGCCTCCTCATGCTGCTGCCAGGTCCAGAGTGTGTCATGGGCCCCCGTACCGACTCCTCATGCTGCTGCCAGGCCCGTAATCTGTCATGGGCCCCTGTACCGCCTCCTCATGCTGCTGCCAGGTCCAGAGTGTGTCATGGGTCCCTGTACGGCCTCCCATTGCTGCTGCCAGGCCCGTAATCTGCCATGGGCCCCCGTACCAACTCCTCATGCTGCTGCCAGGCCCGTAATCTGTCATGGGCCCCTGTACCGCCTCCTCATGCTGCTGCCAGGTCCAGAGTGTGTCATGGGTCCCTGTACGGCCTCCCATTGCTGCTGTCTCCATCGCCACACTCTGCCATGTGCCACTTTCAGGTCTCCTCACACTGCTGGTGGTTTCCATTTTTGTCATAGGGTGCTGTATGGCCTCCCATTGCTGCTGCCTCCACCGCCACACTGTGGCTCCACACTCTGGTTTTGGCCCCGTGACTGCCCAAATGAGTGAAGTGTGCGGTGATTCTAAGATCGACGGCACTCATCTGCATGTCATGCTGACTGTCAGTATTATTTCTCTTCCCCAGCAGACTCCAAGGGCATTTAAATTAAAGGTACAGTGTTCTGCACTAATATAAAAGGGTGTTTCTAGGCTTCAGAGAGCCTTTATAAGTTAAATTCGCAGCGAATATATTCGACTCGAATCGAAATTTTTTCACGAATTCGCCGAATTAGTCGAATCGAATTTTTGAATACTTCAATCATCTCTAATGTTAGCATTACAGAATACCTCTTCTCTCCTAATCTCTATACCATGGGGAAGGGGGGGGGTTCTATAGGCCACAGAAGAGAACTGGGCAAGGCTTATAACTATGCTTGAGCTTTCAGAGAAGCACAGGCAGAGTCCCACAGAGGAGGAGCTCAGTGGAATTCTGGAAGGATCAACTTACTTCGCACTTAACAAAAAACACACAGTATTAGTCAGGTATGAAAAAAGTGCTGTAAAGTAAGAATGGTTTCAAAAATATATATATTTTAAATTGCTTATTTTTATCAGTTTACAAAATGCATAAAGCGAGCGAGCAGAAGAAAAATCTAAATCAAATCAATATTTGGTGTGACTACCATTTGGCTTCAAGCCAGCATCAATTCAATTCATTAAGCTTCTTTGAAGAAGCACAAAGAAGTGGGCAACACTGAGAACCGTAGACACAGTGGTTGGCCAAGGAAACAATGCAGCAGATGAAAGACACGTCATGCTTACTTTCCTTTCACATCAGAAGATGTCCAGCAGTACCCTAGCACAGAACTCGCAGAAACTAGCGGGACCCAGGTACACCCCTCTACTGTCCAGGAAGTCTGGCCAGAAGTGGTCTTCATGGAAGAATTGTGGCCAAAAATGGTAGCAGGTGCTCTGGACTGAGGAGTCAAAATTTGCACACTGCTGAAATGATGCTGCGCTAGGGACACCAACAGGCAGCCTCTGCTGAACCCGTGCCCCCCCCCCGCTTACCTAATGGGTACCAGGCCAGATACAGGAGTGCCCCCTATTAGCACAGTGTTCTACTATAATTAAAGCACGGTGTACAGAGAGAATTATTGTAGCACAATGCATTGATATAATGGCATCACATTACACTGATATAATATTACAGCACAATGTACAGGAGTATATTAAAGCACTATATTGCTATTAAAGTTCAGAACACTGGTATAATAGTATTACAGTACAGAGATAGTTAGACTGTATTACAGTACATTGATATATTACATACTTGTGTTACGGAACAACCCACACAGGGGTGTACAATGGTACAGCTCTCTGATATAATGATATTACAAGCACAACACACAGGGGCATATTAGAGCACAATGCATTGATATTCTGGTATTACAACACAGAGGTAAATAATAGCACAGTGCACCGATATAGAGCAATTACAGCACAGCATACAAAAAGGTATATTACATACCAGTACATTGATATTGTACAGAACAGCACACAGAGGTGTATTTTAGAAGAGCTATATTATAGTACAGTGCACTAATATCCTATGATAATACAGTGCACTGATATTTTACAGCAGTATAGGTGTCAGTGGTGTATGAGCAGGGGCGGACTGACCATTTGGAAACTCGGGCACTGCCCGAGGGCCCGGGGTCAGTAGGTGGCCCCATGGGATGCCCCTGGTACCTTTTTCATAGGCTTTTTTGAGTTTGAGCAAGGACACAGGGGCCCCATGAGTTGTCAGTCCGCCCCTGTGTATGAGTGTGTACTATAGCTGGTGCCCTCTCCACTGTCAGGGCTCCCCTCAGTCAGCTCGGTCTCCCCTGCTGCTTGCTCTTTACCATGTCACCCAGTTGGAGCTTCCCAATCAAGGGGGGGGGGGGGGGGCTCAGGAAACATAACACTGCTTCTTGTAAGACCACAGGGGAGGAATCTCTTCATGTCTTTTTTTTTTTTTTTTTTTTTAAGTAAGCCATGCCAAAACTACCCTTTTGGTACTTTATTACCATTCACATAAGGGCAGAGTTAGGTTCACCACCATATCCTAGTTACCGTACCAATGTGGGAAATGTCAAAGCTGCCAGGCCCCACTCTGGTACAGGAAGGCAGCCTGTACGCCCCTATCAGCAGCCCTATAAATATTTTCACACACTTTAAAGCTGAACTCCAGGCAGACAAAATTAATGTAGCTCCAAATTCACAGATACATCCTTAAATATATATTTTTTTTAAACGCAAAAAGTGCAAGTTCTTGAATTTGACTTGATATCATTTTCTACAGATGAGCAGAGCAGAGTGACAGATGATGTCATCAGTTAGCCGCTTTGGCGGTAATCTGATCGCTCAGTTCTCAGTCTTCTAGCAGACATGGGACAGCTGTAGCATAGAGGTATGCAGCAGGTTAGTCCATTTTGCTGAAATTTCATTGCAGCAACTCAAAAATGGTACTCAGTAGTTTGTATGGCCCCCACATGCTTGTATGCATGCCTGACAATGTTGTCGCATGCTCCTAATGAGACGACGGATGGTGTCCTAGGGTATTTCCTCCCAGATCTGGACCAGGGCATCACTGAGCTCCTGGACAGTCTGAAGTGCAACCTGGCAGTGTCGGATGGACTGAAACATGATATCCAAGAGGTGCTCTCTTGGATTTAGGTCAGGCGAGCATGGGGGCCATTCAATGCCTGCATACTCTCACCGCATGGGCCGAACATTGTCGTGCACCAGGAGGAACCCAGGACCCACTGCACCAGTGTAGGGTCTGACAATGGGTCCAAGGATTTCATCCCGATACCCAATGGCAGTCAGGGTGCCGTTGTCTAACCTGTAGGAGGTCTGTGCATCCCTCCATGGATATGCCTCCCCAGACCATCACTGACCCACCAACAAACACTCATGCTGAACGATGTGTTACAGGCAGAATAAACGTTCTCCACGGCTTCTCCAAACCCTTGCAAGTCTGTCACACGTGCTCAAGGGGAACCTGTTCTCATCTGTGAAAAGCACAGGGTGTTAGTGGCAGACCTGCCAATTCTGATGTTCAATGACAAATGCCAATCGAGCTCTATGGTGTCAGGCAGTGAGCACAGGGCCCACTAGAGGATGTCGAGCCCTTAGACCACCCTCATGAAGTCTGTTTCTCACTGTTTGGTCAGAGATATTGACACCAAGGGCCTGCTGGAGGTCATTTTGTAGGGTTCTGGTCTTGCTCATCCTGTTCCTCCTTGCACAAAAGAGAATATACAAGTAGTTCTGATGGGTTAAGGACCTTCTACGGCCCTGTCCAGCTCTCTAGAGTAACTGTCTGTCTCCTGGAATCTCCTCCATGCTCGAGACTGTGCTGGGAGACACAGCAAACCTTCTGGCAATGGCACGTATTAATGTGCCATCCTAGAGGAGTTGGACTGCCTGTTCAACCTCTGTAGGGTGCAGGTATTGCCTCATGATACCGGTAGTGACACTGACCCTAGCAATATGCAAAATGAGTGAAAAAAAGTCAGAAAAGAGTATGGAAAAAATGTCAGGAATGTCTGTAAAACCATTCCTGTTTTGGGGGTCATCTCATTGTTGCCCATCTAGTGCACCTGTTAATTTCATTAACACCAAAAGCAGCTGAAACTGATTAACAACCCCCTCTGCTACTTAACTGACCAGATCAATATCCCAGATGTTTAACTGACTTGATGCTATACTCTGATTAAAATACACTGCTCAAAATAATTAAAAGGAACACTTTTTAAACTGAATAGGTTGTTCTACAAAAGGTGAGGGCTTACAATCCCTTTAAAAAGCTGAATTCTGCTGAACAGGAATGTTGAAAAACTTTCATTCTATAAGCACCTCTGCTATCAGAATACAAGCACAGCAGGAAGGATTCTTCCATCTACCTCGCATTTGTGTTGATGGGAATTTTGGCTGGCTGATTGAAGAAAAAAAAAAAACACACAACACCACACACACGCACACACACACACACCTCAATGTCCAGCTTTACCAAAACACTCTAAAGCCTTTTGATATAGCAATAGGCAAGCATATTTACTGTCAGGGATACAAAGAGTTACATCTGAAGTACTACTAGAAGTAAATTTTTAATATTTTTATTAACATACATAAAAACAATAGTTTGTTGCTTATCGTATACTTTGATGTCAAGTGAAACTTTGACAAGATTTTTCAATTGCAGCTTGGTATTGAGCATCTTCATCAAGATAAACATTCTGGAAGAGATAAGAAAAATCTTTAACTGCAGAAATAGGAGCACCTACGCATGTATAGAAGTAAAATAAATTTGCTATACTCTACCATGAAGTCTTCATAATTGAACCGGTGTCGGGCATTGAGATGAGAAACAATATTTGCAATTACTTGACCTGGATTTCCCCATGGCAGAGAGCAACATATTGGGCACACCTATAACAGGAGGAATGTCTTATTTATATATCTTTATCCTACAAAAAAAGAATGTTCACATCATTGTAATGCCCACAGTGCAACTTCAGGTAAAATATTTTTCCCCCAGTCGATGGGCTATGATTGTTTTTTTTTAATTACGGTCTGGGATTTTCACCAAGGACATTTCACTTATTGCCCCAGTTTTCAATTTTTATAGACAAAAAATCTATCTACGCTGAACACCACTTATGATGAATGCATGGCTACCAGTAATACTGCCATTATTGCTCAAACCAGAAAAGACCAGCACCCCATAATGGACCTCGGTTTACTGAAGGCTCCACAAAGCAGGTGACTAAAAAGTGCACATTTCTGGCACTTTTATGAAGACTCAACAAAACAAAGAAAAACATTGAGGCTTATTATGTGATGCTGGCTTTTTCTGTCTTATAAAAAGGTTTTCATTGCAGTCTGTGTCCCTGCCCTTCATTCTGTAGAAGGTTTTAAATTTTCCACACTTCAGTATTGCTCCAAGGCTCCAGTGTTCAAAGGATATCCTAAGGTTCATGTGTTTTCAGGATTCCCTTTACCAGTGGGAGGTGAATAATTTGCAAGTCACTGAAAGTCACTGCAGTGCTGGGACCCAACAGGACACAGTCAACTGACATGTTATTCAGCAAAGTGCAGAATTTTTCTTGCTTCCTTCTCTGTTCAAAAGGGAAGAATTGATCTCTA